ATAATCCAACTTATTCATAAACGAACGGGGCGTTACAAGGTGACTAATCGAACCATTCTCCAAATGCTGAAGAAGAGGTTGGAGAAGGCATCAGGCGCTTGGGTCGATCAGTTGACAACAGTCCTGTGGTCTTATAGGACGACTCCAAGAAGTTCAACAGGCCAGTCGTCATTTCACATGGTTTATGGAATGGATGCACTCTTGCCTATTGAAGTCAGCTTGGATTCTCATAGGTCGACATTCTATGAGGAGAAGAAGAACGAGGAAATGATTGAGGAAGCCCTCGACATGATAGAGCAAGGACGAGAGGAAGCTTGGGTGCGATCCATGGAGTATAAGCAAAAAATGCGTGCCGCCTTCGACAAAAAAGTACGAACCAGGCGATTTCAGGTGGGCGATCTCGTCCTAAAATGAGCAGACGCTCTCAAACATGTCGGAAAACTCGAAGCTAACTGGGAAGGACCCTACACCATCACAAGGGTGCTCGAGAGAGGTGCGTATGAACTCGAGGTTGGCGAAGGACGACAGCTGCCGTGATCTTGGCATGTGATCCATCTCAAGCGCTTTTATGCTTAAGGCAATGTTTTAAACTTTTTTGTACTAAACAATGCTTAATCAAATTCAGTAATGCGATGAATTTCAAGTTTATGCTTCAATTGTGTCTTTTACATTTCCATGTCGATCTTATTATGATTTTTTTTTTTTTTGAAAAATTGAATTTTTTAAAACGGCTATGAAGCCGCCCAACTTCAACGACTACGAAGTCGACTTAAAACAAATACGAAGTTGTACTCGAGTGGAATCTCCACTAAGCTATGAAGCTTACGACTACGAAGTCGATCTAAAACAACTATGAAGTTGTACACGAGTGGATTCTCGACTAAGCTATGAAGCTTACGACTACGAAGTCGACCTAAAACAACTATGATGTTGTACTCGAGTGGAATCTCGACTAAGCTACGAAGCTTATGACTACAAAGTCGACTTAAAACAACTACGAAGTTGTACTCGAGTGGAATCTCGACTAAGCTATGAAGCTTACGGCTATGAAGTCGATCTAA